TGCAGAGCTGGGCTGAGAGGTGGCAAATGGAGTTTAATGCGGAAAAGTGTGAGGTGATTCACTTTGGAAGGAGTAACAGGAATACAGAGTACTGGGCTAATGGTAAGATTCTTGGTAGTGTGGATGAGCAGAAAGATCTTGGTGTCCATGTGCATAGATCACTGAAAGTTGCCACCCAGGTTGATAGCGTTGTTAAGAAGGCGTACGGTATGTTAGGTTTTATTGGTAGAGGGATTGAGTTTCGGAGCCATGAGGTCATGTTGCAGCTGTACAAAACTCTGGTGCGGCTGCACTTGGAGTATTGCGTACAGTTCTGGTCACCGCATTATAGGAAGGATGTGGAAGCATTGGAAAGGGTGCAGAGGAGATTTACCAGGATGTTGCCTGGTATGGAGGGAAGGTCTTATGAGGAAAGGCTGAGGGTCTTGAGGCTGTTTTCGTTAGAGAGAAGAAGGTTAAGAGGTGACTTGATAGAGACATACAAGTTGATCAGAGGATTAGATAGGGTGGACTGTGGGAGCCTTTTTCCTCAGATGGTGATGGCTAGTACGAGGGGACATAGCTTTAAATTGAGGGGTGATAGATATAGGACAGATGTCAGAGGTAGGTTCTTTACTCAGAGAGTAGTAAGGGCGTGGAAGGGCGTGCCTGCAAAAATAGTAGACTCGCCAACTTTAAGGGCATTTAAATGGTCATTGGATAAACATATGGATGATAATGGAATAGTTTAAGTTAGATGGGCTTCAGATTGGTTTCACAGGTCGGCGCAACATCGAGGGCCGAAGGGCCTGTACTGCGCTGTAATGTTCTATGTTCTAAACCAATGCGCAATGAAAGTCCACAAATATTGAGGACGACAATATGTACCAGCATGTGCAGGACCAGCAGCAATCTTTAACGGCTATCAGATAGCCTCTACATGAAGAAATTGCAACTGTTCCAACAGGATGCTCAGTTGATACAAGAGGCTGTAATATTTCGTCCTCAATATCATTTCTTCCAGATTAATGAGGGACAGAGCCATCTTCGAATGAAGTTGTCCTGGGACACTGCAAAACAGTGTGACCTGCTCTAATAAAGTTCTAAAGTGGAGTCACTGGACTCGAAACATTAAATTTGGTTTTGTTTCAATCTCTCTTACCCTCCTGTATGGAAAAATATTGGTACATGTTCTCACGCATCATTTCCTGATAAAGTACTCTCTCCACAAATTCCCTTGTTGACAGGAAATGGAGAAAATCATCTTAAAAGACACTGGATGGGAGAGGCTTCAGTGAATGAAAAGTTGAGAATTGGTATATCCGCAAGCTTGTATCATTTGCAAAGAATTGGAAGGAGTTTGAAGGCAGCTGAAAGAAAGCAATTAATTGACATCTTTAATCCAAATTGGTACAAGAATCTGAAACTTTGACATTTTTGTTTCCTTCATCAGCCATAATATTGTGTCTTGTCTTGTCTCTTTGTGTGTCTGTTTATATGTGCATGCAAATTTTAAAAGGGGTTAGTGATTAAGGTATAGAATTATAAGTTAACAGTTCATTTTTTTTCTCGTCTTGGTTAAAAACAATTTGATTACAACAAACAGTGATTGTCTTGTTGATGATAAAAATCTGGTTTGCATATTTATTTAACCTGAATTAGACAGTTTGATAAATTGGGCAATTTGGTAATTTAATCATTACTAAATTACTAAATGGGTATTTCAGGAAGAGTTGGGCTTGAATTCCACCACAACACCCCAGTGAGATATTGTAACATTTAGGGACTTGTCCAAGATATTGGAACAAAACCAATGTAAAATCAAGTATGGAATTAGAGTAAGTGATAAATGACATCAGGTTTTGCCTCTCTCAGAGGGTTGTGAGTCTTTCGAAGAGAATGTGGGGGTGAATCCTTTTGGATATTTAAGGCTGAGATGGATAAATTCTTGATCAGTGGGGGATCAAATGTCATGGGGAAAGGGCAGGAAAGTGAACATGAGGCATATTGTATCAGCCATGATCCTATTGAAAGGCGTGGCAGGCTTGAGGGGCCGAATGGTCTAGTCCTGTTCCTTGTTCTTGCAGTCTTTGTGCCTTATGTCTCTTGATAATGCTAAAGCCTTCCTTCAGGTGTAAGAGCTGTCCCTTACAAACTTAAAAAGAGATTACAAAGGCCAGGTGATTTAATTTGCAAGTATATTAGAAGTGGAATTGCATGCTGGACTAAGAAGGCAGAAATAATTGAAGGACTGGCACAGCGTTTGAGCTTAACAGAGAGCAGGTTCTCCAAATAGTGAGACATCAGAATCAGTTCATATTGAGTTACAGCTGGGACTGCCCAAGATCTTCTCCTCTGACCAGGAAGGAAGGTGCTGAAGTTGGAGTCGGAAAATGAAGGTCAAAGTGTTTCCATTGTCATAAAGTTCAGAATGCTGGAAGTTGTGAAGGAAACAATAAATTCTATGGGACTAATAAGACTGAGTCTGAAAGAGGAACTCCGAAAGAACATATCAGGGTTAAAATTATAGCTTTAACTATGAGAGTGGAGGTAAACACTGCTGTGAGTGCAGGAGAGATGAATAAGGTATTTGATAGATCTAAAGGGTTTTGTGGAGAGGGAAGACAACTCCTTTTCCTTCAAATGATGCAGTTAAATCCATAACTGTATTAAGGAACACAGTCACTATTCAAACTGTTTTGCTGAAGGAAGACCTAGTTTTCGCTTGAGAGTGAAATGAAAGCAAAAGCTTTAGGAAACAGAATAAGTGGAGACTATATCTCAGCTTGATTGTCCAAAGTGCAATTAGACTATGACGTGTTGTAGGAGGTAGGAGTTGTTAGGAAATTACTTATAAATGGAGTTGACTTGCTCCTGGGTAATGATTTGACTGCAGTAAAGATTTAACAAGGTAGCATTGTGGTGGCCAGTGATGCTGCATGTTAGGCTATTAAATAAGATAATAAGTCTTGGTAAAACTATACAAGGCACTACTTTGACTACATCTGGAATACTGTGAACAGTTTTTAACCCCTTATCTAAGGAAAGGTATACTGGCATTGGAAACAGTCTAGTGAAGTTTCACCAAGTTCATCCTGGCCATGGAGAGACTGTCTTATGAGGAGAGATTGAGTAGATTGATGTTGTCCATTCTCATTGGTGTTAAGAAGAATGAGAGGTGAACTTATTAAAACATGTAAAATTCTTAATAGATTTGACAGGCCAGATGTGGAGAGGTTGTTTCCCCCTGTGAAAGACCATAATCTCAGAATAATGAGTCACCCATTTAAAATAAAACACGAGGAAGAATTTCTTCTCTCAAAGAGTATTCAATCTGTGAAATTCTTTACTGCAAAAGTTTGGAGAAACTAGGTTGTTAAGTATGTTCAAGGCTGAAATAAACAGATTATCAGGAAGGGAAATAAAACCTGAAAGAACTGCAGATGTTGTAAATCAGTAAGGTAATCAGGATTATGAGGGAAAAGCAGGAGTGCAGAGTTGAGGATTATCAGACAATCTATGATCTCATTGAATAGCTGAGCAGAATTGATGGGATGAATGGGCTATTTCTGCTCCTGTGTGTACAGTCTTCTCATCAATGCAATAAACCTTCTTGTTATCTAAAAACAGTGCCTCTTCTGTAGATACCCTACAGTACTGTATCCTCTGCCACTAATCACTAGATAGGCCCAGGACAAAGCAAAAACAAAGGAGGACTCATGGCAGTGAACTGTCTCAAGCATCCCTTATCCAGTACCACATATTGGTAGGGGTGACAAATACCACAAGGTGCTAGCAATGGTCATCTTGGAAAGTACCACACATAGTACAAAGAATTGCAAACATGATGAATCAGGCCATGTCTTGATGGCAGAAATGTATGCAGCTACTTTCTTCTAGGCTGTAGTTGTGGCATTCCAAAAAGTTAAGCAAGGAGATCAAGTTAGTGCATTCAGTCAATCAAATCTTGCACACCCCCAGCCTTTAGACTGGAAAAGAAGCCATGAACAGACTTTTCTAAGGAACAGCAACAAATTAGGATATAATCAGCTTCAGCAGCGTTCAAAATTATTTTTTCACTCCCCCAGATTTCCACTGTGAGGAAAAATCATCATTATTCTGGTGAGAAAAATTTAACATACACCCAGGGGTTTGAAATGTAGATTATAATACTTTAGAGAACACAAATATTTTGGTCAGGGTCTTTAACAGAGCCATAGGAAACGTTTACAAACTATTGGCATAACATATTCATAGATATGAAATGTATGTACAGTGTGAATCTGAATAAAAATGTGCACACATTTCATCCAGATGACATTTTGACTCTTACTGCCTTATAGTTCAGTGGAGGGCGCTGTTCTTCAGTTGTGTTGGAGGTTTCAAACTGATCGTTGAGGTTCCTCAGAGGGAGATATGGGGTGGATTCTTTTGTCGACCTGTCAATCATCAGCCACAACATTTCACATATTGCACCTTTTTTATAATACTGAATCCCTGAATGTGATGCGCACTGTGAACTATTGTACCCTGAGTATGTGACAAGGTACAGCCAATGAACTATTAATAATCATTAAATTAACTGAAAGCCGACTTTTTGTAAATGATAAACTAGGATTTGGCTTTGCATTTGTTTCGTCGCCACAGAATTTTTCGAGCAGCGCGTTTTGAAATACATCCATGAAATATATTTTCTTGAGAACATAATGCGTTGAATAACACTGTACAGCTGGAATGACGGATTTAAATTAGATTATTTTACATTGTATCACTTTGATTTTCTATAGAGAAAGAAGTTCAATTATTCTTTAATGTATTTTTGAATGCATTGAAAAGTGCACCATGATACAGTCAGATCGGTTTGCCAGTGTTACAGATCCTACAATAAACTATCTGGCTGGCCTCCTGGGTATGGCTCTAATGGTCTATATAAAGCAGAACTGTACAATCATTCACTCCGCCTGCGTTTGAAACATTCTCTCAATCCCGTAACCTTTCCAAACAGCGTCAACGTGCCAAGATGGAAACATTATCTGCATTCAGCGTTAGTTGCTTTGAGAGATAGAAGGTAACGTTAATGTCAGGCTGATAGGTTTTTTTTTACAGTTTGCAGTGTCTATCTGAAAGGTCAATCTCTCCCTCCCCTCCACAGAAAAGCCCTTCAAAATGAGGATGGCGAATCCCCCTTCGACTCGTGCCTTTGCTGTTTCAGTGCAGTATATTTTTAGCTGGAAACAACTGGCTTCTTAAAATGGAGTTTGAAGTGGAAAGGGTGCAGGAGGTTGGTATGTGAGGTATCTGGGCTCTGCCTCCATCTATTCTTTCTCCAGGGACTGTTCTATTTGTTCCCTCTCCCTCTCTCTCTCTCTGTTTCTCTGATCAGAAGTTGTAACAAGTACTAAAGGGGGAAGGCATAATCTTTCCAGTGAAGCAATTTTATTTCCTCTTTTTTTTTATTGTGTGGTGTGTAAATAATATAACTTTTACAATGAATGCAATCTGGCTCTGTTTGGCGACTTTCTTTGTCGCCTGCATCAGCTGCAGAGCAGAAGATGGACTTGAATTCCCCCGGTATGATGGAAAAGACAGAGTTGCCGACGTCGATATGAAAAACTACCAAAAGATTTTGGAAAAGTACGATATTCTGTGCCTCTTGTATCACGCGTCGGTTCCTGCAGGAGACAAAGTTGCTCAGAAACGGTTTGACCGCGTGGAATTGGTTCTCGAGGTAAGACTTGATTCAGGGTTGACTGGTGGGGACTCTTTAAACTGGGACAAAGTACGTAAAACACTCCCAGCAACATGTTTATGCTGAGGACTGACTTTGATAAACACCGCGCTTTTGCATGGTAGTAAAGACACATGTAAAGTTTATTATATTTGAAAATTGCAAGAGATCAAAACTAATAGTTTCTATTTGTTTCTGTTTTGGAGGCAGCTGGCAGCTCAGGTCTTACAAGACAAGAACATTGGATTTGGGCTTGTGGATGAGAAGAAAGATGCAAAGCTGGCTAAGAAACTGGGTGAGAATTAAAGTGTTGAAACTAATTGACACGATGTTAACTACTGAAAACAATTCCTGAGCTGGGCACCCCTCAGATTTCTAATTGCTATTGCTGACATTGCTGAATATATTAACAACCACAGAAGATGGGGACATTATTTAAAGAAACGTTTATGAAAAGAGGCAAGTTCTTTCATGCAAATCTATGAAATAGACCATTCGGCCCATTTTGAGCCTATTCCACCATTCAATAAGATCATGACTGATCTGCTTGTGTTTGGAATCACACTCCCATTGGCCCCCAACAACCCTTGATTCCCTTGCCTAGCAGGAATTTATCTACCTCTGTCTTCGAAGTATTTTGTGACTGCTGCCTTCTGAGGCAGTGTTCCAAAGTTGCACAAGCCTCTGAGAGAAAAGAAAATTCTCCTCATCTGTATCCTGAAAGGGTGATCCCCAATTTCCAAACAGTGTCCACTGCTTCTGCACGCATCCACATGTGTGAACATCCTTTCTGTGTCCACCTTGTCGAGATCATTCAGGATCTTATCAAGTCACTATAGTGTTACGAGATCATAGAGCTGCTCCCTTATTAGAGAGAGATGACTGGTGATGATTTGACCTGAGGGCCACCATACCTTGGGCAAGTGGAAAGGTTGAGATGTAGAGTCCTTTGTGGTGATCTCCACCAGTGTAAGGATTGAACCCATTCTCTTACAAAAACCAACCAGCCAGCCAACTGAGCTAAACCAACCCCCACAGAATCTTATACACTTAATCAAATCCAACAAGCTTATTTAGAATAAGCTTCCTGAGCTAGGTGGTGTACTGCAATCTCAATTTGTAACCTTGCCAAAACCCCCTTCACCTTGTTCCTGGCAGAGAACTTTTCCATCACCACTCCCACAGTTTTTTTTTCATGTTTTTAAATATAGAGATCATTTACTTGCTTTTATCTCTGCCCGACGAAAACAAAAGTGGCTGCTTTAAATACTCTTACAGCAAATAAATTGAAAATTTAATGCCAGTCTTATGCTTAGAATTAATCTAATTTGTTTTGTGCATTGCTGGCGAGACTTCCTTGGACTTGCCCTGTATATTTTTGTTCATACAATGTAACATTATGTTTATCTTGGAAGGTAAAGTTGAAAAGTAAAGTTACCATAGTCCCACTTTCTCATCTGAGAGATGACTGTTAGGGAGTTTAACCTGAGGGTTTCCATGCCTGTGGTGAGGGGTGAAGTTAAGAAGATCAGACCTTCATGGTGACCTCAGGTACAGGAATTGAACTTGCACTGTTGGTGTTACTCCATATTGTAAACCAGCCATTCAGCCAATTGAACTAACCAACTCCCTAGTGCAGGGTATTACAATGATTCTGGACCTAATTTAAGTGAAATGCTTGATGTTGCATAAAGAAGTTTTATTATTTTTAATGCACTGTTGCATTATACAAAATTGATATAAAAACATAGAAGCATAGAAACTGGGGACACGAATAGGCCAATTGGCCCATTGTGTCTCCTTGAACATGGCTAATCCTTTACCTCAATGGCCTAATCCCACCCTCTCCCCATACCCTTTAATGTCTTTAGCCTCGTGAAATCTATTTCTTTCGTAAACATATTCAGTGACTTGGCCTCCACTGCCTTCTGTGGTAGAGAATTACGCAGGTTCACTGAAATCTGAGTGAAGAAATTTCTCTTCATCTCAGTTTGAAATGGCCTATGCTTATCTGAATGCTGGCTGCCAAGAAGAATGAGATTCAGAGCATAGATTACATTCAGGATTTGATTGCGTCACATTTGCAAGTCTGCTGAAACCCATCCCATGCTGTCACAATAAGCGTGTAGTTCTGAACCTCACTGGACAAAGGAAACAGCATCCTGTCTGTCCAGCCTTGTCAGAATTTTGTATGTTTCAGAAAGATCCCCTCTCATTCTTTTAAATTCCAGTGAATACAGACCCAGTCAATCCAAACTCCCCTCAAAGGACAAACATGCTAGTCCAGGAGTCAGTTGAGAACCTTCACAGCAGTCCCTCAGTGGCAAATATATCTTTTCTTGGGTAAGGAGATCAGAACCATACACTATATTACATATGTGATCTCACCAAGGCCCTGCACATTAGCAGTATGAATTCCTTGCTCCTATACTCAAACTATCTTGCTGTGAAGTCGGCATACCATTTACCTTCCTAACTGTTTGCTGCAACTACATGCTTGCTTTCAGTGACCAGTGTATGAGGGCACCCAGATCCCATTGCACATCAACGTTTCCCAACCTATCACTACTGGATGGCATGGTGGCTCAGTGGTTAGCACTGCTGCCTCACAGTGCCAGGGACCTGGGTTCAATTCTACCCTCAGGCAACTGTCTGTGTGGAGTTTGCACATTCTCTGTGTGGGTTTTCTCCCACAGTCCAGAGGTGTGCAGGTTAGGTGGATTGGCCATGCTGAGTTGCCCATAGTGTTCAGGGATGTGTAGATTAGGTAGGTTATAAGGGGAATGGGTCTGGGTGGGATGCTCTGAGAGTCGGTGTGGACATGTTGGACCGAAGAACCTGTTTCCATACTGTAGGGATTCTATGAATACTCTGCTCTGTTCTTTTTCTGTTACTAAATTACCCATGCTGTATTGCATCTGCCATGCATTTGCTGACTCATTCAACTTGTCTTAATTATCTTGAAGCCTCTTTACATATGCCTGACCACCCTCAATCCTATCTAATTCGATTTTAACCTCAATCCTATCTAGTTGACTTTATATGGATCAGTGTATATTTTTCATGTGATCAGTTGGTTTGGAGGCTTACGATATCATCAGTTTTTCAGAAATTCAAGGAATTAAAATGTGTCTAAGTTTCCAATGTGGCAGTCAGGATGCATGTTCTCATTTCATGTTAGAATGTGCTGACTTCCATATTGGATGAGGTCTCTCCATAGGTGGCCAAAATTAGGAGTATTTTAACTATTGAAGAATGTAAATAGTGATCTATGTTCGTTGGTGACGTAAAGAGTTTAGGACTGGAGAGACAGCAAAATGTGTTTGAAAATGAAAAAGAAACCGTGTAATTGTGGTGGAATTGATGGAAAATGGAGCCTATGGCATTATCATGCCATTAGTGCCTTTTAGAAAATTCAAACATTTGGAAAAATGTCTAATTGTGAACCAATGGTTTACTTTCCCTTATAAGGTTATAGATCAGGGCTGCAAAAGTTTATTGTGACAGGCTGGGATGCGTTTGAGCAGACTTGGAAATGTGATGCAATCAAATCCAAAATGTAATCTATGCTCTGAATCTAATTCTTCTTGGCAGCCAGCATTCAGATAAGCAGCACAACAATGCCTGGCACTGTTCAGACTTTACTGATAGCCAATTCTACCATGTCTTTAATACCGGAATAGTGACCATTCTTAACACTATTTTTTCGTAATCATTTCTAATTTGGGGACCTCCATTAGCACTGACAACAAGTTCTATATTTACCATTTAAGAAATTTATAATGGATAATGCCAGCATTTACCATTTTTTAGACTCATCAATTAACATGATAATTTTATTCCACATCTTCAGAGGCTTTTTGAATTCATAAATAGGATGTGGGCTAGCATTTGTTGCCCATCCCTAATTGTCCTCGAGAAAGTGTTGGTGAGCTAGCTTTTTGAAATGCTTCAGTCCTTGGGGTGTAGGGATACCATTATGCTTATAAAAATGAAGTTCCAAGACTTTGACCCAGCAACACTAAAAGAACCATGATAGACTTCCACAACAGGTTAATTTGTGGCTTAGAGGGAAACTTGCAGGTGATAGTATTCCCATGCAGCTTGTGCTCTTACCCTTTTAGGTGGAGAGTTCATATGTTTGGGAAGTGCTATCACTGAAGCCTTGGTGAATTATTGTAGTGTATCTTGTAGATGGTACATAGTGCTACTCTTGTGTGTCATTGGTGTAGGGAGAGAATGTTGAAAGTTCATGGGATGCCAATTCTGTAGGCTGCTTTTTTCTGGATCATTTTAGCTTTTTGAGTGTTGTTGGAGCTACTGTCAGCCAGGCAAGTGGAAAGTATTCCATCACACTGTTGACTTGTGCCTTGTATATGATGTATAGGTGTTGGAAAGTCAGGATGTGAATTACTTGTTGTAGAGTTCCTAGACTCTGACTTTCTACTCTAGCCACAGTAATACTTTTCCAGTTCAGTTTCTGGTCAGTGCTAACCCCCAAGATGTTGATGATGGGAAATTCTGCGATTGTGATGCCTTTAATATCTTAGGAGGTGGTCAGATTTTTGGAAATGTTCACTGTGTGGCACAAAATTTACTTGCCACTTATCAGTCCAAGCCTGAATATTATCTGCATCTAGACATGGCTGCTTCAGTATCTGAAGTGTTGCAAGTGTTACTGAATCATTGAGTCATCAGTGAATATCTCCATTTCTGACCTTATGATTAAAAGAACGTCATTGATGAAGCTGCTGAAGACGGCTGAGCCTAGGAAATTACCCTGAGGAACTCCTGCAGAGATGTCCTGGGATTGATCTCAAGGAACCACAATAATCTTCCTTTGTGTTGGGTATGATTCCAACTAATGAGGAGTGTTTCACCTGTTTCCCAGTGACTTCAGTTTTGCTGGGTCTTCCTGATGCCATACTCACTCCAATGCTGCCTTGATGTCAAGGGTAGTCATTCTCAAATCACATCGGGAGTTCAGTTCTTTTGTCCAAAATTAACCAAGTGTGGAAGGACGAAGGAGCTAAGTAGCTCTTTTGGAACCCTAAGTGAGCATCAGTCAGCAGGTTATCACTCACTATGATAGCCATTTGATAACACTGTGTTCTTCCGCTGATCAATTTTGAAAAAAACCTGTATCACTGACAACATCTACCCATTTTAACCACAAGCACCTTTTCTGAAGTATGTAAAATAAAACTAGCATGTTTTATAAAACTGACCCTCCCAAACTTTCAAGCCTGCTCATGAGTGATTTATAGTGCAACCAAGCAACAATGTTGACTTTGA